TTAGGTGTGAGATATGTAATTACATAAGAATTATGCGCTATGTATGTAAATGCCTCTTTTTATTAATATACGAACAATTTTTTTCCTTTTTACAGAAGATTACTTCTTTTTTGATGTTGTTGTAAATGATGTAAAAATTCAGATCTCCGCGAGGACAAAGCATATCTTGCCGATCATCCCGGTGCTGTTGCAATCACTTCGGCCCAAGTATTTATTTCTTTTTTGATAGTTTGTCATTTTCATTTCTGTAGATGGCAATTACTTCAATCATTTTGATTTATATGTTAGGGAGAGGAACTCAGGAAACAAGTTGGGGCTGCAGCATACATAGAATGCAGTTCAAAGACACAGCAGGTATAGACTGCAATTATGAAATAATATGAAAGTTTTAAATAACCACCTTGAAACATTTCTTATTAGAAAAGAGTTTATATATAGGTGAAACAAACTAGTCAGTTTTTATCTGGGCTGAATAGCTAATTTATGATTGTTCAATGAGAAGTTTTATACTGCCAAGATCATATTTTTATGCAATACTATTGGTGCCTAAGTTGTTAATTGGTGTGCAGAGTAAATTTCCCTTTTTTGGGGGATTTATGTGTATACCACACAATTCTTATATATATATTTACTTATCTAACGGTGAAACTTTCATATTGACATGCATGCCGCCTGATTCTTTGATATCATATAAAAAATGTTACTTATCATTGACCTTTTAAATGTAAAATATAAGTTTTCATGCATAGATTTTTAATATTGGAGTGTTATGAATGTAAATATCAAAGTTTATGTGTTAGATATGTTAATGCATAACAATTGTGTGATATTTATGTAAATTTTGCCATTTTTTATTAGTCGAGTTGTTTAATTGCTTTTCTGATTTGTTGTCTTAATCTTGGTCTGGTTAGAATGTCAAATCTGTTTTTGATACTGCTATCAAAGTTGTTCTCCAACCTCCAAGGAAAAGGGAGATTTCAAAGAAGAAGAAGAGGAAAAATTCTGGTTGCTTGATGATGTAAGTGAATGGGTTTCAATTTTTTTTTGTTTGTCATTTTTTTTTATTATTTATTTTTTTATGATTTGTTTTGGAGGTCTTATTTGTTTTTGGGTAATGATTTTGACATAAACTTTAGTAGAAATTAGGACAAAATAAAATATTTTTACATTACGAATACAAAACAACTCAACCTGAATATGTAAAAGATAAACACTTATAATTCCAGAGGTAGGTGATCTTTTTCAAATACTAATAGTAACACCTACAAATTGAAAAGTAAATGATCTCTCCCAAATCCTAATCCTAAGATTCAAGACAACAATAACATATTTGTCTAATCGGGTAGCCTTATTTATGCCCCACAATAATAATTAACATATGAGTAAATTGCCTTTTTATCCTTGCGCTCAAAGTAAGTCTTCAAAATTATTTGGTAGGCTCATCTTTGGTCTAACGGATTTCTACTTATTTTATAAAAAATTCTTGTATTTATGCCTAATTTTTTTGAGAAGTGGTTATCACAAATATTATTTGGACTCTTATTGAAGCACATTAATGCTTTAACTCAATAAGAGTGGATTGACTGGTGATAAGCATATCTCATAAAATTCTTTATTTATTAGTGTATACGCTAGTCCTACCAGCACGAAT